CGCCCGAACTGCTCAGGTAAACGGGGTCGGCGCGGGAGCCTCGCGCGCCAGCGGCTCTCCTTCCGGGAAATGAATACTAACACTAAGTGCGCCTGGCGTGCACTCGCCATGACGAAGCATGCTGGCGATGAATTGGCCTAATGCAAATGCATTTGGTTAATAACACAGTTCTGAATCATATTTTCCCATGACCTTGCCTCTTTTGTATGATATTCTTTCACGTTCAGCATGTAAGCTCGCAAGGTATGCCCGCGCACACCTATCGACTTAATGACTAGTTGCTATTATCTGCACATATTTATTTACTCTTTCCTATGTACCTATAATTTCTCAGAATGTTTGTGGTCTCCAGCTGATGATGTAATAGGTTATGTTATCTTAGTCATGATGCCTAGGAGAGGCTGAAGGAGGGGAGAGAAGAAGAGAGGGAAAGAGAATAGAGGAAAGGTTATTAAGAGGGGATAAAAACATGAGTAGGAAAAGGAGAAATGGAAGGAGGGGAGGCACAAGGTGAGGGAAGACGATATGTGTCGAGAATATGAGAGGAGGCAAGGGGAAGAAAGAGGGATAGAGAGAGAGAGAGAGAGAGAGAGAGAGAGAGAGAGAAAGAGGTAGAAGAGAGAGACAGAAAGAGTAGAGAGGAGACAGGCAGACAGAAAGAGGGAGAGAGAGACAGGCAGACAGACAGACACAGACAAAAAGAAAGGGGAGAGAGAGGGGTGAAGAGGAAAGGAGGGAGAGAGAGAGGAAGAGGGATGGGAGAGTAGGGAGGAAAAAGAAAAGGAGAGAAGAAGAGAGAAAGACAGAGGGGGTGAGGAGGAAAGTAAAGATAGAGAAAGATGGATGGGGAGGTGGGGGAGAAAAAGGAGAGGGAGAGGAAGAGAGAGAGAGAAAGGAGGGAAAGAAGGATGAGAATGAGAGAAGAGAGAGGAAAGGGAAAGAAGGAAGGGGAGAAAGAGAGAGGGAGAGAGTTGAAGAAAAAGATAAAGAGTGGGAGAGGGGGGTGCAGGAAGAAGTGTATGAAAGAGAGGGAGAGGGGGGAGACTAAGAGAGAGAGAGAGAAAAAAAAAGTCGGGGAACCGACAAACAGATAGCAGAGAAAGACTTGAAAATCCATTTAATGCAGGAAATCTGTTTTGGATATACAAAAATCTTACATTTACACGTGGCGCAGTAGTTCCACGTGTTCATTTCAACCTTTTATGTGCGCCAAATTGAACAAAAATACAGATATGATCTACAGAAAACGTTACACAGTGTTCACAGTAGATGGTTTATATTTTCCCAACGACTATGAGCGGGATTTCGAATATTTATTTTTTCCCCGCGTAATATTTATTCAAAGATTTTCAGTTTTAGGTTAATGGATTTCTCATATTTTATTTTCATTGTATGTTTCATTGAAGGTTAAGTGTCTTCGCGAGAGTTGATTAGCATTTTGTTGTGAATAAAAAGGAAGGTCTCAAGTTATGCGATATTGCAATTAAATGATATAGTTCGTAAGGTTCATATTTAAGTAAAATTGTCAGATTTAATATACTTGTTTGTTGGTAAATTATGCTCCTAGATGCATTTAAGGATAGATATAGATGTTTAAATGGTTGTGGTTCTGATGTTATAGTTTTTTGTGTGAGGATACAGTTGTGTTGGTATTTTCTCCCAGAAAGTGTCATTAAATTGATAATGTTGTACAGTAAGAGCAGGAAAATTATTGTGCAGAGGCGTAATTTAGCCCTCCTTTTACCCCTAGGCCAAACCCCCTTTCGTCCCCAAACCCCTCCCCCCTCCTACCCCCACCCATCACCCCCTCCCACTCACCCTTCACTTTTCTCCCCCTCCTTCCAACCATCCCTCCTCCCCAACCCCAAGTCAAACCTTCTCAAACAACCCTTTCTTTTCTTCCCCCAGTCTATCCCTTTCCCTTTCCTCCCCCAACTCATCCCCCTCCCACTCCCCGTTCCCTTTGCCTTCCCTCCCCCAACTACTCCCCCTTACCTTTCTTTCCTCCCCAATCCAACCCATTTCCCACCCACTCCTTCCATTTCTTCCCCCCTCCTACTCCCCTTCTTTCTCCCCCCCCACTCCTCCATCCCTTTCTCCTCCCCTACCACTCCTCCATTCCTTTCCTCCCCCCTCTCCAACCCATCCCCCAAACCCATCCCTTCCCTTTTCTTCCCCACCACACTCCAACCCTTTTCTCCCCCCTCTTCAACCCACCCCCTTCCCTTTTTCTCCCCTCCCTCCAACCCATCCCTCCACCCACTTCCCCTTCCCTTTCCTCCCCCAACCCATCCCTCCACCCACCCCTTCCTTTCTTTCCCCCACTCACCCCCCTTCCTTCCCCCCCCCTCCCCCACTCCCCACCCCGTACACGCGACAGCTGGAACAATACTCCCGACATTCCCGCAGCGTCGTTCCATCTCTGCCGCGCGCCCCCCGTCCGCCCGTTGCCGACTCAAGGTGGAGGACAACCCGCCGCTCTGATTGCTTCTGTCACTCTCCGCCTGCCGATAAGAGTTGGAAATTAAACGTAATTAACAGTAGAGGCGGTCGTCTCAAGGGGAGGAGGGGTAGGGGGGTAAAGGGGGGTGTTCGTCTCAGGGGGGGGAGGGGAAGGGGATAGGGAGGGGTGTGGGATAGGGAAAGGGTGTTCGTTCAAGGGCGGGGGTAAGGGATAGGGAAGGGGAGTTCGTCTCAAGGGGATGGGGGATAGGGAGGGGGTAAGGAGAGGAAAAGGGGGAAAGGGGTAGGGGTAAGGAGGGGGTGCGTCTCAAGGAGATGAGGGAATAGGGAGGAGGGAAAGAGGGGGTGTTCGACTCAAGAGAAGGGGTTAACGAGGGGAAAGAGGGGAAAGGGGATGGAGAGCAAAAGGGAAAAGGGAAGGAAATGTATGTTTGTGTGGGCGGTTTTGGGCGCGTGTTGCCTCTCGTTCTCGCCCTAAGGATCGTAAAAGGTGATTAGGACTTCGCTCGTTAAGGCTGATGGTTATCGTCGTTCGTTCGAGGTCGAGGATCTGATAGGCAGTGGGTCGGCTCGGGGACAATCACGTTCGTTAAAGCCCTGAAGATGATTGGTCCCCGTGGCCTGCAGTCGTTTTTGAGATTACTTATTTTTCTTCTTTGTACTTGTTATTTTTTTGGCATTATCCTTATTCTTTATTCTTGTTTGTTTCTAATTTCTTATTCTCATCTTTTCTTATTTTATTTTTATTCTTGTTCTTATGCCTCGACTTATTTTTTCTGGTATATTCTTATTCTTGAATTTCTTATTCTTTTTATTCTTTGGGTATTTCCTTTTTGAACGAAAAAGACTTAAGAATTAATAGATATTTTGGTGTTTTTCTTGTCGTTCAAAGTCGCACTGAAAGTTCTCTATGCCCAGTGTTGCAATCTAGACGTAAGCTACGATAGTGAACTGTCCAGCGCTAGTATTCAAGCCTGTTGTTGATTAATAGCTGTGACGGTCCCATGCAAAGGCGAGTAAATGAATAACATACATTTTCCGCGACGGGGGAGAGAGTGGAAGGTAGTGTCGGCCGAGGCATCATTCAATTTAAACTTGATATTTAGAGAGCCTGTCTTTGGAATAATTAAATACATTAACTGATAGATACATGTCTCTGGAGTAATGAAATACATTAACCGACAGACAGATTGACAAATGAATGGATATGTAAACAAATAAACACAAACTGCTCTAGAAGTATCACCCCCGTTCTCTATTCTCTGTTGGGAACGCAAGGAGACCCCTTCGTTGTTTGTTCACGTGACAAAAGGAACAAACCTCAGCCTTCCAAACCGGCCGGACATTGTGTAGTTTGGAGAGTGCGTAACTTCCCTCAACGAGAGAAAATAGACGCGTTTTCAAAAATGTGTACCCGAGCAGGCGGTCGATGGCCCTTGCGGTGTGTGTGGGTTTCGCAGTGTGTGTGTGTGTGCGTGTGTGTGTGTGTGTGGGAATGAGTGTGTGTGTGTGTGCACGAGTGTTGTTTTAGTTTTAGTTTTTTTTATGTGTGAATTTTTGTGCGTGTATGTCTGAGAATATGTGTATGTATGCGGTCAATAAGTGGAATGGAAACCCAATCAATCAGGCAAAGAGAAAGAAAAATCAGGCAATATATATGAAAATATATGTATACATATGTTTATATATGTATGTATGTATCTGTCTATCTATCTATCTAATATATATATATATATATATTATATATATGTATTATATATATAATATATAATATATATATGTATATATATATATATATTATATGTATATATATCTATATTTATATATATATATATATATATATATATATATATTATATATAATATATTATATATAATATATATATATATATATATATATATATATATATATATATATATATATGTGTGTGTGTGTGTGTGTGGTGTGTGTGTGTGTGTACATATATATATGTGTGTACATATATGTGTGTGTGTGTGTGTGTGTGTGTGTACATATATAAACATTAACCTCAATTTCTATCGTCATGTCGCGGTGACGGAAATGAAGGTTGCTAATTCAACCCTGTATTTAGATGACATAGATAAGCTCCCTTCATATAAATACGCGTATGTTTATATATATGTGTACGTGGGTGTGCGTGCGCGCGCGTGTGCGTATACGTATGCGTATGCGTGTGCGCTTGCGTGCGTTAGAATGTTTAAATGTGTGTGCGTGTTTGAGTGTGTGTGTGTGTGTGTATGTGTGGGTGGGTGGGCGTTTGTGCGTGCGCGCGCGTATATAAATTTCACTTACAAACGCACGTTGATCCGTAAGGACTAGCTGAAATAATCGCATTGAACACTTACCTGGTCTCGCTTGCATGCAATATTACGACTGTATATGTATGAAAGGCACAAGCGCGGCATGATACGACGGGGGAAATGAATATATAGAATATGAAATTACGAGATCATGATTTGTTTAAATGCTCGCGGAGTTATTTCATAATGGCCACATTTATGCCCGATGCTAATAAC